GACCTAGATTACACCCTGACTCTACCACTCACTCACAGGTCTTTACAGAACTACTTTTTTTTTTTTTTTTTTTTAATATGTCTGTATTGATTTCAGAGAGAGGAAGAGAGAGAGAGGGAGAGAAAGAAACATCAGTGATGACAGCCATTGATCTGCTGCCTCCTGCACACCTCCTACTAGGGATCAAGCCGACGACCTGGGCATGTGCCTTGACAGGGAGATGCTCAAGTGGACCACATGGATTCTGTAGAAAGCAGTGCTACTTTCTGTTGATCAGGATCAATTATCCTTGTCATGATTGTGACTCCTCTTTTTGCCTACAGGTCCCTGGAATGAGTCCAAAATGCAGCAGCAGTCAGAGCTTGTAGTTCAACCAGGATTCTAGGTATTCCATTAGCCCAATATAGTAATGCCGGCTGAGGATCTGGGGGTAGAAAGAACCTGATGTAGTCAACTTGTCACCAAGTAGCTAGTTGGTCTTGTCTCCTTGAGTAACAGTGCCATATTGGGGGCTCAGCATTGGTCTCCGTTGCTGACAGGTTGAAACCTTTAGGCATCAGTAGCTAAATCAGCCTTTGGGCCCATACAGAACCTCCATTTCTGCTATTGTGGCCACTGCATTTATGTGCCTCTATTAGTTTCTTAGGGCTGCCTTAACAAAGTACTACAAATTTGGTGAGGCTTCTAATGTATAGATGGAAAAGTGTCATGTTTTATTATAACATAGTTTTTAGATCTCTGTCATTCATCTCTAAAATAATTACGGCAGCTTTCAACTAGGGGATAATTTTATCTTATTTTCCTTGTCAAAAGTGTGCAAAAAATTACCGAAACATCTGAGAGCTCTCATTCTGTGGGTGAATACAAAACTTTTATTAATGTCCAAATGATCTGCATTTCTTTAGGAGGAAATAGTCCTTCTCATTTCTCGGTATTTCACCTAGGGATTGTAACCAACAAAATTCTATTTTACAAAAAACAAAACAAAACCACAAAGGAAAGAAAAAGAAAAGAAATACTAGTTTTAAAGTACATTTTAAGAGTGTCAATTTGATATACTGAATTTTCTACTTTAATTCTGCAAGTGACACATATATTAATCTCTATGTGGCTAGTATGTTTGTAGCAATCAATAAATACTTGTTTATTTACTCAACAAATATTCCTAAAGCATCTACTATATACCAGGTGCTAGGCTGAATAAGACACAGCACTGGTGCTCAAAGAACTCACATGTCAATTACTTTTAAAAAATTATTTATTTTTATTGCAGTAAAATACACATAACATAAAATTTACTATTTTAATCATTTTTAGGTGTAGAGTTCAGTGACATTAAGTACATTCACACTGTTGTGCAGCCACCACCACCATTCATCTTCAGAACTTTTTCATCACCCCCATAGTGAGATTTTGTGCCCATTAAACAATAATTCCTCCACCGCCATCTTCCCCTGCCCTAGGTAACCACTATCCTACTTTGTCTCTCTGAATCTGACTATTCATGGGAATTCATATAAATGCAACCATATCGTAATTGTTCTGTGTCTGGCTTATTTCACTTAGCATAATGTCGTCAAGCTGCATCCAAGTTGCAGCACATATCAAAATTTTATTTCTTTTCAAGGCTGAACAATATTCCCTTGTATGCATATCCCACATTTTCTTTACCCTCAATTGCTTTACTTTTTTAAACAGCTCATCTTTCATTTTATTTCTTTCAAAGAGATACCATGAGGTTTTAAAAATAACTTTTTTAAAGGTAGTGTCTATAGCATTATAGTAGCTGCCCAGATGCCAGTTCCCTGCTTTTGCTGCCACCACCCAAAGTACAGCATGAGGTGCTTTCTTTAATGGTTCAAGTCTCGGAAACAAGTCCAGAACTTTTTCTTATGTATCTCTCTTTATGGGTCATCAGGACAGTTATGCACACTTTTAGGTGTCCTTTTTTAAAGTAATAATTTCTAGTTTACCTACAGTCAGAAATATACAAGTTAGGGGATTATAGGTACATAAAGAATATAGTTTGGGATTCAGTTCTTACTGGTGTCTTCATTTGGGTAGTGTCTCCAGTCCATCCTGACTATTCTGCCAGTTTATTTTGCCCCAGGACCCATGTGCTTAGCTCTCCAGGATGTTTATATACCTTTGGCAGTTTCTGAATTCAGCTCATTCTCTCCTGTTTTACTACATTCCTTTCCTTTCTGTCTTCTATGGCTCCTATATTATTTTTCTCAGAGGGACACCTGGTCCAACTCTTAATAAGCAGTTATTTATTGAATTGAATATGGGCAAGAAATTATACTAGGTGCTGGATTTTTATGCCATAAAGATCCTCTTTCTTGGGAGAAAACGAGATGTCCCTTCTTACCCACAATCGGCTACCTGCAGCTCTCCTTCATTCATTACATAGGGACACAAATATTTACCCAGAAGGAATTCCACATTCAAGTAATTTTGTGAGACATTCACTCCATATCCAATATTACATATAGCACCTTGCATCCTTGGCTGTGCAGGAAATACTATGCTTGAGTATCTATATAGGTATATAGGTAGTTACTAGATATTAATTTCAAAAGAACTTTGAAAGAGCAAGCATAGTGAGTTGAACTAACATTTTTCAATAGGCCACATTAGCTGACCAGAAACCTAAAGGACACCCTCGGAAATCTAACAGATCCCTGACCAGTGCTACTCGGAATTTCTCCTCAGTGTTTATTAACGTGTGGAAGTTCTGACTGTCTAGGGACCGCAAAGCCAAATTCCTACTGAATTCATGAAGACAGGAAATAAATGATGGGAAAAACAGATATCAATACCCAAGAGGTATTTTTCTAAATTTCCCCTGGTCATTTACAAACCTAATCTAGGGCTAAGTATGAACTTTGACAGATACAGGCCTGGAGAGGTTGAGGACTTGACCAATGGTATCATATTAACTGGAGCTGGAACCCTGGCATTTCCCTTTCAGTCATATATTGCCCATTCAATGTCTTCTTAACTGGTTATCTTTCTTTCTTTCTTTCTTTTAAATGCTCACCCGAGAATATATATAGATTTAAATTGATTTTAGAGAGTAAGAGAGAGAGAAACACTGATGGGTTGCCTCCCTAAGCGCCCATCAAACCTGCAACCTTTTGGGCAAGGGAGGACGCTCCAACCGACTGAGCCACACCGGCCAGGGCTGGTTATCTTTCTCGAACAAATAATTCACTTACGGTCTTTCTGCAAAGCTGTGAAGTTGCTGTCCTACCCTACGGAAGGGAAACGAGAAGCATAAAAAAGGCGGCACCATCAGCTAATTCCTCCTCAATAACAGAAAAGGCAGAGAAAATCTGAATTCCGGATCCGGAGCTGAGTCACCAGGTGGAAAACCTGCACTGGGGGCGGGGTGGGGCGCAGGCCGCTGCGAGGAAACGCTGGTGAAATTACCTTGACCACGCGGACACCTGAGGACTTGCGGACAGACTAAAGGCCACCACTTTCCTCAACAGCCGCGGCAGGGGGGGCAGAAGCGAAGAGACCCGCTCCGGGCGTCTGCTCAGGGCCCGGGCAGCGGCCCCTCACCGCCCAGGTCCAGTCCCGGGGCCCTTCACACGGCACCCCGCGGAGGACCGCTGCTGGGCGCCAGGAGCGGGGGATCAAAGCGCGGCTGCAGAGCCTGGAAAAACGGGGCCACGGGCTCTGGCGGGATTACGGGAGCCGGCGAGGGGCTCACCAACTCAGGGTTCAGAGCGCCCAACCCTTACACCTTCCCTAACAGCAGAACTCCCACCGCACGCCCGCCGTTCCCAGCGCCCCTAGCAACCACCGGCGACTTAAAGCGGAAGCACGATCGTTATCCCGCCCTCCCCGGACCCACCAAAGCCTGGCTGGGCAGCTCGCTGAACCAATCACGTCAGCGGGAACTACGGACAACCAATAGGAGGCAGGCACAGGGGGGCGGGCTGAAGGGGTCGCGGGCGCACGCGCAGTGGGGAGCAGGGCCTCGGTTCCGTAGCGGTGTGGGGGAGTTAGGTGCCGGTGAACTCGTGTTGGCCCTCCAAATCCCCGCGTAGCCGCCGCGCCTTCTCCTGCCCTCGCCATGTTCCTCACCCGGTCTGAGTACGACAGGTAATGTGCGGCAGGAAAAAATGGGGTTGGGGTTCTGGGTGGGCCGGCCAGGGGCCCAGCCTCGGCCTGGGTTCTGCCGTGTCATGGGGCGCCCCAGGAACCCTCGTTTGGCCCAGGCTGGGGATCTCTTGGCCTCCCCGCCGCCCGCTGTGATTCCCCAGGCTAGACTCGTGCCAATCGGCCACCCTCGTCCTCCCGCTGAGTCACTGCTGGGTCCTAACTCGGTGCGGAAGCGAGAAGCTCGGCTTTGTGCTCGGAGGAGGCTGAGGGGCGGCAGTCCGACCTTTAACCCGGGGAAGGCCGGGGTCACCCCTTCCCGGTTCATCGCTCAGTGCTGCCTTCTTAAAAAATGTAAACGTGCCCCCTGGGAGAAAGAGCAACCAGAGTGTATCTACTGGCTCTGACCGTTCCAGCGGCTTTTTATTCTCGGAGAAGAACCTCGTGGGAGTTTCTTAGTCGTGGGGATAGAGCAGCCTTTCCTTCAATTGCTGGGACGTAGAGTTTCTCTAAAAGCGAGAAGGCAGCCTCAGCTGTGCCCAGATACAGTGTCTGGAGTCTGATTTTATCGGGACTGGTATTTAGAGGAGTTCTCAAAAGTTTCCTCGTCACCCCGATTCCACTAGCCCTAGGCTTTTCTCGCGCTTAAAGAGTTTAAAGCAAGTTAATTTGTGTTGAAGGCCAGACCTGGCTTCTAAATCAAAATCGAGATTGTCGTATTTATTTCAAAAAAAACTTTTCAGGGGTTGGAAATGTTAAGTAATATTAAATTGCACATATGCTGCAGACATTTTTACTTTCAGTTTCTGTTTTGATCAGTTAAGTTTAAACATAGCTCTTTTTTTCTTTTTTTCAAAGACCAGGCAGATGTTTTCTTTGCACCCCGTGGCTGGGGAAGCTGCTTTGCCTGTCAGGTATTCATAGACCCTGTCAAAAGTTTTACCACCTGGAACTCGAACATTATCCTGTTACCGACTCATAGAAGATGTATGTGAAGTCTTAAAACTTGACATCTTTTCCTACTGTCCTATAAAATGACTTTGTTAGTTAGTATTTAGCTTCCAGAGCATTGAAGGTTTACTTAACATCTTTATTGCTGCTTTGTGTTACTTATTTTTGTATCTTCCCAAGAAGGCTGAAATACAACCCGTATTTGTTTAAAACTTATCTAATGTACTTGGATGTTCGCTGGGTACAAGGCACTGTTCTGGTTGTACAGCAGTGAACAAAGTGAAGATCCTTGCCCCATATGGGAGACTGTCTTTTAAAGAACTGTTGACAAAAGTAACTACAGTATGAATTAGAAATGTAGTCATGTCATTAGAGAAATTCAGATCAACCCTGGGAATTTTGATGAGATTCCGTTCAGTATTAGGGGATCATGGAAAACTTCACAAAGAAGCTGATATTTAAACTGAGTCTTGAGAAAACAAGATTTTGATAAATATGGACAGTGGAAGTCAATAGTTTTGAGGCAGAGATATAGGATGTACAAAGAAAGGGCAAGCGGAGTGCATATTTGGGAAATTCCATTCTGTCCGGCACATGATATATATTTGGGAATAGTGGGAGGTACGGGGAAAACAGGATGGTGCTAGATAGTGAGTGGTTTTTAGTATGAAGTTAAGGAGTTTGGGTCTTATTCTGTAGGTAACTGGGTGCTGTAATTTTTGTTTTAAGAAGTTTCATTGTCATAATTGTTTTATAGTGATTAATTGACTGGATTAGGGGAAAGAGTAAGTCAATACCAGTTAGAAGGCTATTGTAATAGGTGAAAGGTAATGAGGGCATTGAGAATGGAAGGAAGAGAGTGTTGAGTTACTGTGTAGGAGGAATTGATATGAATTGATATGACTTGGTATATGGTTGATATGGGAGAGGATGGGGGAATGAGTCAGATCATTCAGAACTTTCTAGCTTTGAGAACTGGGAGATTGGCAGTTTTGAAATAAAAATGAAGTCGGAATGGCAGGAGATGGAATTGGTTTTGCAAGGATGGTTGGGTTTAAAGAGATACTTCAGATTGGAAAGTGTTGAATGTTTGGTGCTCAGGGGATATCCAAATGGAAATGCTCAGGAGGCATTTAGATTAATAAGGGAAGGGGTCAAACTGGTAGTAGAGATTTAGAAGTAGTAGTTTGTACTTGGCGTAAATGAAATAACCCATGAAAACAGTCAAGTTTGAGAAGAAGGCCAAGAGCAGAGCCCCATATTAGGGAAGGTGTAGTAATGCCCCACTAAAGTGAAGTTCCTGAATTAAGCTGAAAATACTACATTGGAATAGTACTTTACACTTTACAAAGTTCTTTTACACTCTCTGCAATTCAATGCTGATTATCTTGTGACAGAGGCAGGATAGGGTTTGTTTTTTGTTTTTCCATTCAAAGGAATTAAACCTAGTAAGTGACAGAACTAGAACTTAACCCCAGGTCTTCTGTCCTTGGAGTTTTCTCCCACTGATTTAAAAAAAACTGTTCCTTAGAGTCCTACACTTCCTTATAAATGACCTCAGGGATGTTACCTCTGGGGTCAACAGGTGGCTGGGATGGTGGGATTCTCCCCTGATTTAGCCAGAATAATTCCCAGAGTCAGTGTAGTGGAATAGTTGAAAGCTTGGTCTCTGCAGTCACTTTGCCTAAATTCTAATTCTAGCTCTGCCTCTTATATGCTGAGTAACTTGGGGCAAATTGCTTAACCTTTTTGTGTCTCCACTTCCTCATCTGTAAAATAGTATCTATCTTAGAATACTACTTTATAGGATTATTTTGATGATTAAGTGAGTTAAATCATTTAAAATGTTTATAACAGACCAGGCATATAGTAGTTATGTAGTAAAATGTCAACTTGTATTATCTGTTTTATATTTTGGGATTTATATAAAATTTCTTTTAAAGGAAGAGTTCTTGATAAAACAAATTTGAAAACACTATACTATACTATATCGTTATATATTTCAAAATCCAGACTCCATTATCCAAGGATCATACTATTTTCATTCATTTGTTCAAGTATTTTTAAAGTGTCCATTGTGTGTGGAAAGGCTTTCTAGCTAAGACCACTATTGATGCCTCTTCTCCATAGGAATTTCCAACAGACCGGAGCAAGGAAAGGTGGGAGCTGTTTTAGAGAGAAGCAGCCTGGCATGTAGTTGGTATAAATGTATGCTGAGTGAATGAACTAAGTTTGGCTTTAGGACAACACAGATCTTAGTCTGTAGTTAAGGTAGCATTACTAATTCCTGCAAATAAGTAGTGAACACCTGTGACCGTCTTTCACTGAGAAGTAGGATATTAACACCAAGCACACGCAGTGGGGCGAGGATAGGGATTCGTGCCCCCAGGCTCCGGCGGGAGTGTACCAGAGGAACTCCAGGCTTGGGAGTGAGTCGCCTGCTCTCCTTGGATGAGTCTGAAGACTTTCTGGGAGTGTTCTCTGTATAGGTTCCATTCCTTGAAAAGCTGTTTATGTACCCCCCCCCCCAAAAAAAAAAGGTACAGATTGTTGTGGTAAAGAATAATGACAGCCTGCACATCTTGTGGTCATTAGGGGTAGATGTCAAGGAGCTGCAGCTTAGGAACTCTGCGTATTTTTCCTGACAATTTTTAATACCTTTTCTTTTTTTAATTATAGGGGTGTGAATACTTTTTCCCCTGAAGGAAGATTATTTCAAGTGGAATATGCCATTGAGGCAATCAAGGTAGAGTATCAAGTGGCATAGTTTTTGAAATTTCATGGCAACCAGACCATTTGCTGGCAGACCATTTAGAGTCAGTGTATATGAAAATAGTTTGTAATGGTCTAGAAATTTATCCTGTATCAAATCAAAAGTCTGACTTCCTGAATTTTCCTTTGGTTGGTTCTAGTTTTGCTCTGGAACCACACAGGATGTTTCAACCTCTTCCATAAGACATTTCCTCACGTAATTGGAGAGAGCTATTGTGTTTCCTTTTAAGCTACCTCTTCTAGAAAGAACGTGTTGGCGGAAATGGTTGTATGAGAATCTGGAAAAGGGGGAAAGAGATTCTGATTAGTTGGAGACATGGAAGTGAAGGAGGAAGCATTGTGATAAATAGCGGGACAAAAAATGATGGGCCAGCTTCAAGTGCCCATCATTTCTATTTCTGATCATCTTTGCCCTATATTGAAACCATACATTACTATGAAGTATGAGACTATCAGAATTCCAGGCTGTGGCATTTATTTTGAGCCTTAGCTAAGACAAAAGTTCTGCCCAGATGTGCAAGCCTCAGTTTTGGGGCTTCTTTAAGTCCCTTACCACTAGTAATTTCTAGATTGCTTAGCGATAATGAGATGGTATCTGATCTCCCTAGTCCTAGGTTGGGGTAGAATAGAGATAGTGATGTGGCCCTTAATGGATGCAATTTAACCTTTGTGAAAATTCAGGCTCTTTGGTGATTAAATAGCCAGGCTTGTTGCCTTGGCAACTTAGGAGTAGCTGATGAGAAAGTAGTTTGATAACTATAAGGATTTAGTAGTATGAAAGGAACTGGAGAAATGGCTAAAAATGGCTGACAAGTAGAAATTATCACTTGGAGGTACCGGACGGATGGCGTGGGTGAGATTTAGCCAGCAGAGGTGGGGGGAATGCCTTTAGAGTAGGTTTCTTGGGGGAGGGAGTGGAAATCTGTGTCAGTATTATACTGAGCATCTGGACATTGGTTACTACTGTTCTAATGAGTCATATTAAACACTACGGAGAGTCTATGTAGATGTTCCCTCTTTTCTCTCTCTCCCCAGCCCCACCAACGGGCGGTGAAGTTTAAGCAGAATTGTAATATAGAAATAACTGAGGGTAAATATAAGTGTACAAAAGAAAATTATCTTGATTTTGATATATTTTACAAAATAGCCTGTTCTCATGCAGACATGTTAAGTGTGTTATGCATAATGATTCATGGAATTCTTGGAATCCTTTGCACTAACAGGCTCCAGGAGTCTGACGCTCACACTGGCAGTCACTGCTGTGTAGGACTAACTGAAGGTAATGGTATTTCAGAGGCAAGAGCACATAGTCTTGGAAGGCTTTATGAATGATGAGTGGATTTGGATAGGCAGGGAGACAGCATGAGCAGAGGTGCAAGGGTAGGGGATAACAGCATGAGAAGATGGGCTGGGCTATTCCTGAGGGATTTTGTTGGAAAATAATGAGTAATAAAGTTGGAAGAGAAAAGTAGGATTAGGTTTTGAGGGCTGTGGAAGCTTATTTGGATTTGATGTTATAGACATTGTAGGGAGATATTAGTTCTTTAGAGAAGTAGTGTAATGAAAATAGCGTTTTATTGGATCCGTCAAGTCATAACAGGAAAGTTAGATTGGGGGAGAAGAATTAAAGATGGGAGACTGAGTAGGAGGCTAATGTATTAATTTTCCCTTCTCGATGTATTGTTATTATTATCACCATTTTGTAGATAAGGAACCTGAGACGGGGGGTAAGTGACTAGGATGGTGGCATGGAGATGAAGAGATGAAATTAAGCTATATTGTGGACTGCTAGTGACCTCGAAAAATTAATATTTTTACCTTGGTGGTGGTGGTTCTTTATTTTCCTTTTTTGTTTTATAGTAAATTATTTTTCTGGAGGTAACATAGATTTGAAGAATATCCCCTTTTGGAACAGATCAAGATAGCAGAGGTGAAAAGAAACCAGGCCCAGAAAAAACATTATAGAGTTTTATTACTTCCTTGCCCACTATGATTAGAACTTTAGAATCTGCCCCTCTCCAAAATATTAGCATTAAAGTTGGTCATTTTCCAGATATTTTCAAGACTTTGTTGAACTTCCCTTTTAGAAGCACAAAATTCTGTAAATCAGTGCTCTTGCCATTGACAGGAGCAGTACATTACTGATTGGGGGGCTCCTTATCCTCTCTGCGTACTAGCTATGGCTGATTGAAGTGTCTATCTTGTGAAGATATACAGAAAGATTCCTGGTGAGTATGTGAGACTGTGCTTTGACCTGTACATGATAACCATAACATGTTTCTCTTTAGCTTGGTTCTACAGCCATTGGGATCCAGACATCAGAGGGGGTGTGCCTAGCTGTGGAGAAGAGAATTACCTCCCCACTCATGGAGCCAAGCAGCATTGAGAAAATTGTAGAGATTGATGCTCACATAGGTAAGGAGCAGGGAAAAGCTGCTCTGTAGGATCTGGCCTGGGCTAATTAGGCTTCTTTGATGTTCCAGTGGAGGTTCTTTAGATGAACGTCAACTTCCAGGCAGTAGGCCAGTGTGCATAATATAGGAGTAGGAAGCAATTGTAGGGCCCACTTCCTCCCAGAAGTTCCTTTCTCCCTCAAATTTAGATTCTGCAGATGTGCTGGTTGTTGAAATACGTGAAGGTTGAATCATAGACCAGCTCCTTATGATGGCTGGGTCTTCATTGATACACAACATTAGCCCAGGTAGGAGGCCACCAGGAGCCGAGGATTCTGTGAAGCAGAGGATGATGTAGGAAGCTAGAGTGTTCTCTAAGGAAAGAGGAATCCTAAGGATCTTTAGTGACTAAGGTTCAGAGACTGTAAGAATAATAGACCTTGACCAGATCAGTCCTCTGCCTCTGTTTTCAGATTTATCCCTTTACTCTCTATCTCCCCCTACTTCTTCCCCTCCTTTTCTTCTGTCTCTGTTATAATTCCCGTGCCTTAGCTTCATGAGGAATTCTGCTTATTTATAAGCCTGGCATTTTAGTTGACTGTCCAAATTTTCTTAACCTGTCTAGTTATCTAATTAACGAAACATTTGTAAAAGTTATTAATTGCTGGAAGGCATCGGAATGAAATGCTGTGACCACTCTGGAAGATTTACATTCTCTCTCATAGATACAGAAACTGAAATTTAGTCTTTTATGATTAGAGCATTGTGTCTACTTTATCTCAGGACACCTGTCTTTTGGAGGTAGGTCAGTGTCACTTCTGTGAGCCTACTATGTGCCAGACATTGTGCTAGTCACCAGGGATACAGAAAGGAATGAGACATAGTCCTTGTCTTGTAGAAGCATACAGTCTACCTGTGGAGATGGGCATGCAAATAAGTATATGCAATTATGTGTCATAGGTGTTAAGAAAGGCTGTTGTATGTGCTCAGTAGGGGTACAAAGGAGGAAATAATTAGTTTTGGCTGATGCTTAGTGGGGCTTCCAGAAAAGGGTTCCGTAAAGAGTTGAATTGAATTCCACAAGGTAAAGAAGTTTTACCAAGTGAACAAGTGTCCAGCTATAGCAGAGGAGAGCATTCGACTCAGAGGGAGTAGAAATGAGCAAAGCCTTGTTGTGTAGAGTGTAAAATACCCTGGGACAACAGTTTGATATGACTGGGAGGTGGATGGACTGTGGCAAGAAATGAGTCTGGGGTCAGACAGTGAAATTCCTTTTTACCAGGCAAAAGAGCTTAAGCTTGATCCTTTTGCGCTGGTGAGAAAGGTTTTAAGCACTGAGGTAGTACCAGATTAGGGTTTTAGGAAGACCATTCTGGTAACAGTGTTGAAGGTAGAGTGAAGGGGGCTGAGACCGAAGGCAGGGAGACCAGGTAAGAAATTGTTTTAATCCAAAAAAAGAGAGATTAGGGCTTTAACCAAGGCCGTGGCCAGAGAACGGAGAGGTAAGGACTAATGCTAGACAGGTTAATCACATAGAGGTTGGTAGAATTTGGGATCCAATTGCTTGTGGAGGCCAAGGAAGCAGATGGAGTCTGATTTGAGTCTGTGGTACATCCAAGTTGATACATTAAAGGAGTCATTTGGCCTTATAGGTCTGAAACATGGAAGTGAGACCGGAGCTGAGATTTGGTTTTGCGTCATGGCATGTAAAGTAACAGCCGTAAGCTTGTTCTCTTGAGCCATCAGGCAGACTTCCCCTCTAGTACACTAGCTGGTTTGTGTTTGATCAGGGAAATGAAAAGGCTTTGACTTTATTCTAGGGTCTTCCATCGAAGCTTATAGTAAGATGGTTGTTTTTTCCCTTATTTCTCCTGTTGGGGTGTTGGTGTTTGCTTAGTTTGAAAATGCTTCATGGTCTAAAAAGCGCTAAAGAGATGCTTACGGATGTAATTTGTGGAAATTCATGTTTGATTAGCTGTTCTTCTCTTTCTTCTATCTTAATAGCTGGACTTCTGTGTCATTGTGGATGGTTTTTTATTTGTAATATAATTATACTTGGAGTTCAGTGCAGCTAATTTCCCATCTGATCTCTTGAGTATATTGCTGTGGGATTGCTGAATGGCGCCATGTTTCCACTCCAGAATTTCCGTATTTCCTGAGTGGATGAAAGAGTTCTACAAGGATTTGGCCGCTGGGTCACTGTTGCTTTTACATTACAGGTTGTGCCATGAGTGGGCTAATTGCTGATGCTAAGACTTTAATTGATAAAGCCAGAGTGGAGACACAGGTAAAATTAGCATCATCTCTCCCCTTTACCATGGTGCTTGAGTTCCTGTTTAGTGATACTATAGCCATGTGGGTTGTATTGCAGGTATCTGTGTTAATATCAGATGTAGCTCCTGGGCGCGATTTGGGTAGAATCCCTAGTTATAACTTTCCGAGACTTGGCTGCTAGCCACCCAACCATCGCAGCTTTAAGGACGCCCTGGTAAATGGTGCTGACAGTCTCTTGCTTCTTGATTTGTCCTCTATAAAGCAAGCATCACACTGCATTCTGTTCCCTAATTGACTTTCTGTGGGAGCACCATAGCAGGAGGTAAACACAGCTAAAGGACATTCTCCCTCCAGCTGCCTTTGCTGCTGGGCTTGCAAATAACAGCTCTCCTGTGGTGAGTAACGGAGAGGCACCAGGTGATAAATGCTGGTGAGGAATACTGATTTTTATTATTTTTTTAAGTGAGCACCTGCTGCCTGGAGAGCAGACTAGTAAAAAAAAATATATGTGATGGGTAAAATTTTTTGCACTTATTTGCAAGTTTGCTGTCAGTACTTATTTGAGAATAAGTGATTTAATTTCAGCACTAACAGAACTATGAGATAGGCAAGTGGCACTCTGCTATTAGCATTCACTTTGTGACAAGACTGACCTTGGTGCTGTGAGGGGTTAACCATTTTTCAAGGGAACAGTCCTCCAGTCCAGCATCGCTTGGAGTCCTTCCGGTAAAAGTTTATATGCAGAGCTGTTTCTCTTCCTCTCGCGTAGTCCCAAGCGTTTGAGTTTAGTGTTAAGGAAAACCCTGGAGCTTGAGGCTTCAGGCTTTAGTTTCCCAAGCACAGTTCGGGGGCTGGCCTGTGTAGTGGGCGGTGGGGCTGCTTTACTCCCTGCTTGTTTGGAAGGCAGACCATGCCTTGCTCCTCTCCTAGAACCACTGGTTCACCTACAATGAGACGATGACGGTGGAGAGCGTGACCCAGGCCGTGTCCAACCTGGCTCTGCAGTTTGGAGAGGAGGATGCTGACCCTGGTGCCATGGTGCGTATGCCGCTGCTGTCCTAGGGGCCTGGGACACTGTCCTCTGAGCCCGTTATCCTAATGCCTTCTGTTTCTTGGTTCTAGTCTCGTCCCTTTGGAGTAGCACTGTTATTTGGAGGAGTCGATGAGAAAGGACCTCAACTGTAAGGACCAATTTTGCTTGCTTCCTTTTTGGGAGAAGTATTTTAATTTGGGATGGAGACCGGTAGTTTAAATGAACTGAGAAGATTATTGTAGAATTGTAAAAAGTGAAGGGCTTCTAACTCTGTAAAGTTCAGTGATTCTTTGTTGTTTATACAAAGACAGATTTGGGGGGTCCTCTGAAGAACACACGGATTGGAACCAGTGCTAATTCTGGAAAGAATTAGTGGTGACTTTGCTACTGTAGCCAGAGGATGTGCTTTAGAGCTTTGCTTTGGAATGTTGATCCAATCCCTGTCCTCAAATATTATTTAGGTAGGCACATCCAAGTGCCATATTTATATACACAATACTACACTTTCTAAATCCCCCTTTTTAAGAGCCTTTAGTTTTCTTAAACACTTTTTAAAAGATCTGGTTTCTCCAGGCAGAGGACATCTTTTGGATCTGTGCCTCCATATTTTGGTAGAGTTTTCCTAACTGTAGGCCAAGCATTTATATTTTTTAGGACATATTTGCTACATAAAATGACACCATTCTTAAGCATTTTAATCCTCTTCTTTTGGGTTTTTTTTCAGGTTTCATATGGACCCATCGGGGACCTTTGTACAGTGTGATGCTCGAGCAATTGGCTCTGCTTCAGAGGGTGCCCAGAGCTCCTTGCAAGAAGTTTACCACAAGGTAATTAAGCATTCTCACTTGTGGTATGTACATCTAGACCACATCTGTTCTGATAACAGTTCTCACTTTTATTATTTTTTAAATCAAGATGTAACTTACATACAATAAAGTGTACAGACTGTAGAGTTCTGACAATTGCATATACCCTTGTCTCCACCACTAGAACACTTCCATCACCCCACAAGATGCTTGTCTTCTCTCCAGTCCGTTTCTTCAGGGAGGCATAGGGCAGCTCCCTGAAGGAAGGAGAGATTATGTACAATTAATGGCTACTCTTCTTACCCTCTTTGTTTCAAGTCCATGACTCTGAAAGAAGCCATCAAGTCCTCGCTGATCATCCTCAAACAAGTAATGGAGGAGAAGCTGAATGCAACTAACATAGAGGTATTTCTGTTTTACAGTTTTTATTCACATATCTTAGCTCCCATTGCTGAAGAGTGAATAGATTGAGAAAGTCACAGTTTTGTATGCTCAGGTCTTAAGAAGTTATATCTTTTGAGTAAGCAACTTCAGTAAAGCAGGAGTGGCAGAGGCCAGAAGCTGAAGTTACAGAGTGAAAGGAAGCTGACAAAATGGACCAAATAAGGGTCTGCTGCTTTCTCAAGACACTGACAGCAGAGGGCAGCATTAAAGAAAAGGACTTTTGTCTTTTTAAGAATAGGGAAAGACTTGAAAATACTCTGTGGGCTGAGAAGAAACTAGTGGACAGAAAAATGTTAAAAGAAATGAAAGCACATGTTAGATAGTGATGGAAAAGTTCTAGAAGAGGGAAGGCACATGGTACAAATGAAGGAGTTGGTTTCGAAAAGTAGAATTCATTCAGCATTATATGTATTGAATACCCATTGTATGCCATGTACCACAATAGATGCCAGGGATACAGACAGAAAAATCCAGTTCTCATTAAGTTGCATACTGTGTAGTGTGGAGGACATACAGGTAATAACATCTTGGGGCGACACTTCTGTAATAGTAATAAGCGTGAATTGTCACAAGAACATATGACTTACACTGGGGCTTTGGGAAAGCTTACTGAAAGGTGATGTCTGGAGAAAAGACAAGAGGAACTTTGAGGGTTTTGTCTGAATGTTGGGGTGTGAGATGTAAGACAGGGAGGTGGCAAGAGATGACACTGGAGAGGCCTGGACCAGGTTCCGAATGCCCTTATTCAGGGCGCTGAGAGTAGATGGGAGGAAAGGAGGCAGTGATGAGTAAAGATGAGGTAGGTTTGGAGGTGAGTTGGGAGAGCGGTCCTGCGTGTCGTTAGATTGTCTGCCGAGGGTGGGCGGATACAACAGTGAAATTAAGAGAATGGGGAGTATTTGGAAAAGCCAGATGGACAGGGAAAAGGGAAGACGGGCATGAGCGAAAGGATTGCTGGGTCTCATTAAAATACTAGCTGAGGCTGGAATCACAAAAATTGTAAAAAGTCAGGATAGTAGTTACCCCTTGGAGGCCTAGTATGTATGTGTGTATATTATATTTCAATTAAATTTTTTTAAAAAGGTAACCGAAGCTGTAATCACAAGTCAGAAATTAAACCAGTCAACTCTTCCCAGGATATTTGTCAGCTGTACTCAGCATAAACTAAGAAAATGTGTGTTTGTGTGATCCCTGGTGGAGGACTGACTGGTTGGGGCAGAAGAATGAAGAGTCCTGGAGGGTGCTGTGGGTGTCTCACAATAGAGCCAGGTCCCATAGGCTGCAGTGAATGGGGCAGAACTGGACCCCAGAACAAGGCGCTGGCCAAAGGAAGTCTGGGAAGAGTTGGAGGGTGGGGTGGGGGACGTTTGGCTTGCTCCTTGAGCAGTAATGGGGAGAAGGATTTGGGACAGAAATGGAAAAACTTACTTCATAGACATGCTTTTTTCACCTTCTTAGCAAAGATTTGAAAAATGAGGTGCAGGACTCGCAGTGAGACACTGATCTTGACCCTCAGGAGGGATCTTGTCTGTTCCTTCTATTTTGTTTTCTTTGGTACTGAATGAGATAGGGTCTTGGGTATTTCTGCAAAGACTATCTCCTTGCCACCTCAGTAATTTAAATGTAGCTCTGTTCATTTCACAGTGAAGGTTCTCAGGCTGCTTGGTTCAACTGAAATGGCAAAGATATTTTATAGCTCACTCAATTTCAATGCAGCTGTAGTGGTGCTTGAGAAGAGGTGTGTCATATCCACACCCTACCATTAACTGCATTACTTTCTGACTATAGTTTCTCTTCACATTAAAAAAGGGCACTTCGGGCCTGGACGGTATGGCTCAGTTGGTTGAGTGTTGTCCCGTGCACCAGAAAGTCACTGGTTCGATTCCTGGTCAGGGCACATACCTGGGTTTTGAGCTTGATCCCCGGTACAGGTGTACAGGAGGCAGCAGCCGATCAATGTTTCTCTCTCACATGGATGTTTCTCTCCTCTCTCTCTAAAAAAATCAATAAAAACATTTTTAAAAAAGACAGTGTGAGAACATTACATTTAAAATAAACACAGCTTTTTAGGCAAAGGCGAAGTGGCACCTGTTCCTCAGTATTGCCCCAAAGTAGGTATGATTTTGTCAGCAGAAATGATGGAAAACTTGATGGTTTTAAATTTGAAACTAACCATCTTCTGACCCTAGTTTTTTATTGCTTAAGTAGATTATAATCTGAACTGCTGGTTATTACTAATAACTTCAGTCACTACTGATTTCCTGTCAATGTTAATAGAATCTTTTTATGGCCAGTCCTTTTTAAAAAACAAAACATTTTTGCTAAGTTGCCATATAGACAATGTTAAAGAAAATAATACCTAACAATGATAGTTAACAGTTATTTGGTGCTTATTATAATGTTTTATCCACTGTTCTAAGCACTTTGCTACATATATTAACAGATATTTTTTAATGGATTTAAAAAAATAATGTTTTTATTGATTTTAGAGAGGAAGGGGGGAGGAGAGAGAGAGAAACATTGATCAGTTGCCTCACGAATGTGCCCCAACCAGGAAATGAAACGACGACCTTTGAGTGATGGGACGACGCTCAACCAACTCAGCCGCACTGGCCGGGCTCATAACACATTTAATCGTCATAGTTACTCCGAGAGTTAGGTGCTGTCGTCATCCCCATTTTACCAGTGAAAATTGATGTACAGAGTGGCTAAGTCACTCGCGGTCACACATACAAGCTCAACTTGCAGGTGTGTAAATATGCTTTTAATGTATTTCTAAAGGAATCTTTAACAGAAAAAATACTGACCCCGTGTAACTGGCTGCTGCTTTTGTGATCCTTGTTAAAGTAATTTCAAGAAGTAACAGTGATGCCAGCTATTTGGTTAACTAAGATGTGTGGGTTAACCTCAAAATAGAAAATTTGGTCAATAAAAATTTTTATTTTGGAGTCAGAGAACTATTTTTGGAAGCTGCTGCCGGAAAGGATATCCCTGGGACAGCAGATCCCTCAGGTCCTGACGACCAGCTGCATCACCAACACAGCTTCTCTTGCCGGTCAGTGGACTGGCCGAGCCCCCTTATTAACCCTTCACTGTTTTCTTTCCAGCTGGCCACCGTGCAGCCTGGCCAGAATTTCCACATGTTCACAAAGGAAGAACTTGAAGAGGTTATCAAGGACATTTAAGGAAGTGCGATCCTGAGCTTCTCTGGGACAATTTCAATTCTCCTGATTGCCCTTAATTTTTAATTCCAGCTCCTATTCCTTGGAAAATCTCCAGTGTATGTGCATTTTTTTATGATGTCTGTACATAAAGGCAGTTCTGAAATAAAGAAAAACTTAAAATATTTGTTAATAGAGTATTCTCTTCTATTGCAGTCTTTTGTTCACAATGCTTATGTTAAGGGGCAGAAATGATAGTATTCATATCCCTACCCTCTCAGGACATCTAAAGCTGTCTTAGTCGTTCTCTACAACAGAATCAGCTGTATCATGAGTCCCTGTGTTCTGGCAATGAACTCAAAACTCATCCAGCTCCTCCCAGTGGTTTAAGATATTAATACCACTTAAACCCATTTCAGTACTGTAGTTAGTCTTAAGTAAATAGGTATTTTTGCTCCTTCCCTTATATGAAGTAGATGCTCCTAATTGATTATCAAAAGAACATGTTCCGAGGTCCTCCCCAAACACTGATGTACAGCTAGAATGTTGTACCAGTTCTGGTATCTTAATAGACAATTGGGAAAGAGAGGTTTTTTTGTTTGTTTGTTTTTTTAAAATACATCTATTGATTTCAGAGGAAGGGAGAGAGAGAGAGAGAGAGAGAGAGAAACATCAATGTTGAGTCATCAATTGGCTGCCTCCTGCATGCCCCCGACGGGATGGAGCCCGAAACCCGGGCATGTGCCCCGACCGGGAATCGAACCTTGAGCTCCTGGATCCTAGGCTGATGCTCAACCGCTGAGCCACGCCCAGCCGGGCGAGAGGTGGTTTTTTTAATGAAGTTAAGGACTGTAAAAGAATTGAATTCATGATCTTGGTCTCACTGGCAATCAATTAGAAATGAGGAAGAGAGAATGCTATAATTCAGAAGTAGTTTACATTACACTTTGGAATATACTATAAACTTCCCCCATTAGAGATGCCTTTATATGAGACTGGTTGAGATTAAAGACTCAATCTATCGGGAGCCTCAGAAATGGCCATATGAAGTAGATACTGTTATATTTAACAGATAAGCTAAGGCTGTGTGACTGGACACAGAAAATTAAGCTATTGGGAACTGAACCCAGATTTTCTGGTTTTAAATCATCAACTCTTGATTTTACAATGCCAGGTCCCTTGCAGCCTAGACACCTACTCAGTAATAGGGAAATCTTATTAAGATTTAAGATGTTACTGCACCATCCACCATGTGTGGGAATGGACAAAACATTGTGCTTTAGGGAGAGGTGAGAGTTGCATCTCTGGTCACATGTATTAGGTAGGAAATAGAAAACAATTACTAAGGAATAGCTTTAGTTTGCACCGCCTGGGCAGTGTATTTTTCTATAGACAACTGCTGAAACAAATTTCATACCCTCTAATTCTAATTTTAGAATTCTTGAAAGAATAGAATTCTAGCATTCTTGAAAGAATAGAACTTTGGTTTCTTTGTAGAATTTTAAGATTTTTCTACAAGGGTTCTTGTGTCCAATTTGAAAAGAATCAGAAATAATCTTACTAGGAAATGTAATGGCTTTGTGATAGGTAACTGCTTTCTATTCATCTTTTTGCTATAGAGTTAGTTTATCTGGGAGAAAAGTATGTTTTTTGGTAATAAGAAAGATTTACATATTTTAGTCTTGCAAGTCAAGAAAGATTTTATTTGCAGTATTTCACAAAGGAGATCTGACAGGGCAACTTCTGTATTTAGTGCCTGTGTCATTAGACTGAAATACTAAAACCATTTATTCACTCAAACATTTTCTCAGTGCTGTATACAAGATACTATGTCCCTAGCAACTGATAAGGTTTGAGGAAGGAACTGTGTGTTTTGGAAGCATATAATAACTAAAAACTATATATTAAAAAGTGAAGGTAAATAATTGCAACAATTTAATATTTAAAGTGAGTGTGTTTAGTAATTTCTCCAGTAGATGGCACTGTTGAGTTGGCTTTCTTTTCAGACAGTAAGACAATAGACCATTCATCTTTGTGTCACTAAACAAAGAAATATTCCTGTATAACCCCTCTTCTCCCCACAGCTAATCACATGCTACTGGAACTGACTGTCTTGTGATCTACCCCATAGTTGGCATAGATTAATAAATAATCAGTATTTTAAAAAATAATGCGACACATGGTTGTGGATGGAAAGGAACACATTGTTCATGGTTTCATCGAGCTTGATCCTGTCATTTCAGTAACTGAAAACCTTGAAGATATGCTAGTGATTCTCCCATCCTGCTCAGATGCCATTCAAAAATCTTTCTCATCTTACTATGCTTGTTCTAGAAAAAAAATGTAAATTTGTAAATCTTTGCTTGCAAATTAACGTGACTAGAAGGATTTTATTGTAAACACTGGGCTGGGTGAAGTGCACCATTTTGCTCTACAGTTAATAGATTCTCATTTGGGTTTACCTCCAGCTCATGGTTAAAGGTAACTTTTAGTAGCTTTCTTTATTGGGGGTGACTTTTGCATACTTGGTATCTTTCTATTCTCTGCCTTTTCTGCTGAACAACTAGCATTCTTAAGGGATAGAATCAATTAAAGTGAAGATCTAGAACTGGTTTTACCTGGACTGCATGTTGGAGAAGTTATGTGTGCAGTTCCCGCAATAAAGGGACCAGCTAAGTGTTTTTCTTACTGTGGGCTGGGAGCTAATTTAGGGCACATCATAGACTGAAAAAACAAAGTTGTGCAAGTGAACTCTGCGGGGTTCGGGCACTTTGGCAGACATAAATATGCATCTATGAAACGATCATGCCTGAAGGAGGCACTGGGCGATCCTCGTGCCCGCTTTGACCTGCCCCTAATGTCTAAGCTACTTGCTACCTCCAGGAAAACCAATAAACCCCGCCCACCTCTGGCCTAACTCCGAGCAGAAGAGGAAGGTGAGTGTGAGGCCATACGCGGTGGAGGGACTTGAAGTTCGCATGAATCACGAACACCCTGATTCTATCTTCTCCGTGGGCTGTAGCCCACACGATTCGCATTCACCTTGGCAGCGAGGTGGCTGCTTCAGCAGACAATGGGCGCGCCAGTGCGCGGGGCTTAAAACCTGAAGCACCGGTTCGTGACGAAGCCCTGTTTTCCAGCTGAGCGAGCTCAGGGATTCCCTGGGGACATTTTCCCGGCGCTGCTACCACCCAAAGAATTTGGGGGGTGGCTCTGGGGGAGAGGAGGCGACTGACCCAGCCCAACTTGAGGGCGCCCAGGGAGCGGCGCGGGGTCGGGCGCCACGGCGCGGGGAGCTTGGCGAGCTGGGGAAGCTCCGAGCAACTCTGCAAGTCGGGCCCCGAGACGCGGCGAGGCGGGGGATGACCTCAGCCGTCTTGCCACGTTCCAGCCAATCAGTCCCGCATCTTGGCATCCGAATCCAGGACCCCCGAAGCCGGAGGCGACGCGGACCAATGAGAAGCGAGCAGGGAAAGAAGGACAGGCGGCCGGCCTATGGGGCGGAGAGGCCCGGCCGCGCGTATCCAAGGAGCGCCGCGCTCGGGCTCGGGG